GTCACCGGGAGAGCCTGGCGGATCCCGGACTCCCGCCCGCCGCGCACCTCCGCTCACTGCTCGCCCGGCTCCAGCCGCCACTGTCGCACGGTGAGTACCCGCGTCCGGTCATCCCCAGTCCCTTCACCCTGCCCCTACAGCTTCTTTCGTTTAGTTTGGATGTGGGTTCTTGTGCCTGTTGTTTTTATTATTATACCTTATTAAAGACTCCATCGTCTCACTCCCACCGCTGCCCTCCTCCCACCTCGTCGCCCTCTCCAAGCTCACCCCTCAAGCCCCAGGAGCTGGTGAGAGCTCCCCAAGCCGCCCTAGCCGCTGATCCTTGTCGCTGCGTACAGTCCTTTGCCCCGGCTTCCGCTCTGGCCCTCGAAATTAGGTTCCTTTTGTAGAGTCCCCCTTGTCCTGGCTCCTGGGCCCGGAGCCCTCTCTTCCCACTCGGAAAAACCCTGTGGGGACGACAGACTCTCAGCTTGGGGAGAATGCCCTCAGTTCGAGGTGGTCCGTTCACTGTATGCGGGCAGCGCATACTTACCGATTTTGGGAAACCGATAAGACATCATTCCCCAGAGCCGCCCCCCACCCCGCCCCAGCCACCTCTTCAGCCCTCCTGAGAGCCCTTTCGGGGTTTGCCGGACTTGTCTTGCTAACCCTTCCGCCAGGGAGTTAGGACAGTGTTTTTGCCTCCTAAATTGTTACAAGAGACTTCAACGAGAAAGAAGGGTCAACTTGTTTCCATTCGATCCGCAGAAATAAAGATGAAACAGACAGATAACAGATAAATAGCTTGATATTTAAAGACGGTATGAAGACAGATGCGAGAATCTAGAGGAGAGAGCTGGGAGAGACAGCTCAGGGACGATACGATCGACAGATGAGGGGCACCTAGACAGAGAGGGCGGAAGACAGACAGGCAGAAGATTCTGGTCTTCTTGATGAAGGCTTTTCAACTTGGATCCCCTCTGGAAAATGGGTTTTTTCTTTCCCGCCGAGTTTAGAGGAGGGGCCCTCAGGTTTGGGCTGCCTGGGCCGCAGAAGCACCTGCAGCAGCAAGCCTGGTGGAAGCCTTCGGTGTCTGAGGACACGTGGCTGGGCCCGGCCACCTAGAGAGCCCCAAGCATCAGTCTCCCAGTCCTTCCACTGCTGAGGTCCGCGGACACAGCTACTTCTCTCCCTGGGCGAGCGAACAAAGCATGGTACGGGCAGCTACTTTTGACCTGGAGCCTTATAGTGGCTTTGGAGACCGGCCAGTGTATGAGCAGGACAGCCTGGCATGAAGGGTACTCAGAGAAGAGACCCCTCCCCACCCCCTCACCCCCCAAAAAAGAGGAAGCCCAGAGAGACTGCATTTGGCTTGAACGAAAATAGACTATCTGAAGGAGGAAAACTTAGGGAGTGGACAGTTAGAAGTGAAGAAGTGGCTCCTAAGAAACTTCCTTGATAACCTCTCCATCTCACGTGCTGACCTGGATAGAAACCACCTTTGGTCTGGAACGCCACTAAAAATGCAGAAAATGTGCTTAGGACTTGCATGACCCTGGTCCCACTGATGGCCGGAAAGAAAATGGTTTCTATTTCCAGCCGGAATCCTTCTGCCCAAAGAACGCAGGGCTCCAGGCGTGAGAGGAGAAGCTCGGGTTGCAGAAACCAGTGCGGTTATCCTGGGAAGCCGGCTCTGCACCGAGCTGGATGAGCTGGGCGCACACGGCTTGCTTGGAGAGAGCCGGGTTCAGCACCGCGAACAGCGGTCGCCTCAGTCTCTCCACCCTCCCTCACAGCCTGGAGATTTTTTTTCCCCCCTCCTCCGCCCCCTGCTGTCTGGAGTCGGGCAGTGACCGCCCCTCCCCCCAACACCTTCAAGTTCTACCCCCGCCCGTGTGCATGCGCGACTGAGCAGAGGGGCGGCCGGTCCCCAAAGTCCGGGCTTCAGGACCGGGGCGGATAGGGCAGGCTGCGAGGGTGGCCGAAGGAGCAGGAATCTCGGCGGCGAGAAGGCTGGTTTTAGCAATGTCTTTGCTGTGTGGCCTTGGGCAAGTCACTCTCTGTCTCTGGGCTCCACTTCCACCCCATTCCGAAAATAGGATTGTTCCTAGCT